TTTTTTACTCAAACCTCTCTGGTAAGTTGACAAAAAAATTCTTCATAATTCTTTTATCTGACAACTCCTCACCAAGTAATCTAATTTGGTTTACTATATTTGTGAGTCTATCATTGTACTCTTTTAAAATTTTAAACTCTTTCATCTTTAAGACTTCAAACTCTCTTCTAAGATTCAACACTTGTATTTGTCTTGTCTTGTCATTGCCTTGGAATTCTTCCTTAAGTATATCCCAAGCTTGTTTTGCAATATCACGGGTCATGATTCTGATGAATATATCATCAAATACTGATGACTCAATACAACTTTAAGCCTTGTACCTCTTTGCTTTGTCTTCACTATAATTTTTCATTTGAGTTATTGTTGGATTTGTAAGAAATTGTGGTAGTTCCCACAAATAAAAAACACTCAAATAGGACTTTATTTTGATAGCACATATTTGGTAGTTCTCACCAAAAAAAATATATGAGATGGAGGTAAGAAGCAACTTCTTGAGGCCATTTGAGGTTGACAAAAGTTGGCTGGTAAGTGTTTGATGGCTTTTCACTTAATTTCAATAGCTTATAGGCCTTCTAAAACCTTATAGAAGCTCTGATACTAATTAAAAGATCTAGAACAGAGGAAGAACGAGGGGAAAAAATGAAGAAACTAATATGGTAATTGTAGTAAATTGGCTCACTTTGATCATAAGCTTCATTTCATTAATTTATAGGCATCAAAATACAAAAGTTTGTTTAACTACTACAAAAGTTATTTGCCTAACAGTATGGATCACCATACACAAATCTATCATGCTACCTAAACTGATAAAATGGCAGAACAAGTTGCAAAAGTTATAGTAGAGATGCCATACCTAGTTGTTTCAACCACTAACAATCCTTAAGGACAATGATTGTCTTGGATAGGGGGGAAATTGATACAACCTATAGTTGAGGCCCAAGGAAATTAAGAAATTAGAATCCCAATTATGTAAGCCTGTTAGTGGCTATTTTGGTTATTTTTTTGTTACTACTTTTATTTTATTATTTTGTCATAAGAGTCCATTATCTTGGATCATGCATGAATTCGAGATTCTTGGAAGGGAGGCACTACATATGCTGAGGCATTGATTGTAATGGACATCCAAAAATTTATGCACATAACAATTCTCTCTCTCTTATTTTCTCTTCTCTTCTTCCTCTATTCTTGATTGTCTACTCTTATCTAAATTGGGCTACATCATTTCCCTTATAAAAGCTGCTTTTAAAATTAAAAATCGTATTATTTGTGAGTGCTAGTCATAAGGTTGAGGTCATAGTACCATCTTTCAAATAACATAAACTAAAATGTTCATAATTACATTTTTGTAGGCTATCTATACTCTTTAAGCATTAGCTCGAAAGTCTCTACCAATTGCAAGCAATTTATCTTCATGCCTTCCATCATTTTGTTATGAAATTTTAAGTCAAGAAAAAGCTAAAAAGATTTTAATAAATTTATTTTTAAACATTTAATTCTTTATTTAAACATGATCTAAGCTTAGATTTCTCAAAATTATCAATAGATAAAATAATTTATTAGTGAAATATTGAACTCTTAATTTCAAATATTAGAGTTCAAATCCCAACAATATCGAATACCAAAAAAAAAAAACCCCAAGACTAGTGCAAGCCGACAAAGATCCAACTTAGTTCCCAGTTTTCCATTTGGGACCTTTTTTAAAGCTGTTATGTTTCGTAGTGTGAACTCTAGAGCCTACCAATGGAACTCTGGTGTGAAAAGCAAAAGCTGATTTTGGAAAGCGGTTCAACTGATATGGTTGTAATCAAGTAAAGCAAGATTTAGGCCAATCAACACAACAAAGAAACAGCATTCGTATCACGCAGTTGAGAAAAAACAAATCTTTGAGAGATAGTTCACCATAAAAAGAGAAAACTAGTCGACTATCATAAGCCCAAAAGCGAAGCTTCCATTTTTCTCGGAACATGGGTAGTGGGGCTTCGTCAGCCTGACTAAACTTTTTCTACATTACCACGTCAAGAAATTTCAACCAATAATTATCTTACAATGATAATCAATAAATGCGCAGCAACCCATTTCAAAATCACGTGTGAGCATTAAAATTATTTTAATTAAAGAAATATTATCAAAAAGTTAAGAAAATATCTAAGAAAAAAACTATTATTAACTCATTTTTTTTATTAAATTTGGTTAAAATAGGATAAAAGTACAAATTAAAAAAAAATTGGTTAACATTAACCATAAATACTCGTCAACCGAAAAACCATTTTATATAGTAAAATGCTGAAGAGATTTAAATTAAGTTTGTTTCATAGAAAATAATTTATAAAAATTAATTTTTATATTTTCAAGTGTTTATTTGATATAAAATTGACTAGTCAATAGAAAATGACTTATTAATTAATAAAATAAATTAAACTTTTTTAAAATTATCTTAACCTTTTGAAAAAAAAATTTTTTTGAAAAAAATTATCTATGAATAAAACTATTTATTAATATGCTTAAGTATAATTTTACTCAAATCGGATGGTATACATAATTTTTTTAAGCTCAAATTTAATTTGACTCAACCCAAAATATTATTATATTAATAATTAATATTTATATTTAATTTTACTTAAAAAAATTAAAATATTAATATTAAAAGTTTCTTAATATTTTAATTTTAAATATTTTTATAGTTTTACTCAAATAAGATTTTGAATATAATATTTTAAACTCAAACTTAATTTGATTCGACTTAAAATATTATTATATTAATAAAAATATTTTATTTAATTTTAATTAAAAAATAGTAACATAAAAATTCTTTTGATATTTCAATTTTAAATATTTTATTTTGTATATTATTAAACATAAATAATTTTAGTATTTCAATAATAAATAATATTATATTATTATTTTAATAATAAGTAATAACATATATAATAATAATTTTATTATTTTATTAATTAATGTTAAAGAATATAATAATATTATTTTCTTATTATGAATATTTTAATATTTTCTTATTATTTTTTAATTTAAAATACATAATTTTATATTTTTATTTATTAAGGTATTTATATTACTATTTTAATAAAATATAATAAAAAAGATTTTGTTATAATTTAATAATAGATACTTTCATTATAAAATATAAATATTTTAATAGTATAAATATTTCATAATAAATATTACTATTTTAAATATTTTAAAATATTAATATAAAGAATAATAAATAGTTTTATTTTATGTATTTTTATATTAATATAATATTTTAATACTAAATGTTATTATTAAAATATAATTATTCTTGAATATTAATAATTTTAATAATAAATAATTTCTATATTCTTTAATAATAATAATTTTTAATGTTTTAATAATTATATTTATATTATTTTAAAAAAGAAACAGATTTTCTAAAACAATCAAATAATAAAAAATATTTTTCATTAATTCATCTAAATAATAAAAATTCTTTACCTTTTTAGAAATGTAAATATTTTCTACAAAACATTTTTCGAAAATCAATTTTAACGAACAAAATCTTAATTTTAAAAATTTAGCTAAGTAGATCCATTTTCTAAAAGTAGATAAAATATTATTTACACTGATTTTTTTATTAAATATGATAATTAACCATAATGTTACGAATTTTAATATATTTAAAAAATAAATTATTAATATAATAATATTAAAAAAAATCCTTAAACCAGTAGTTAGTAAAACCCTTGTTCCATAATAAAAAAGTCTGATTGTTTAATTTACAATTATTTATTTAGTTTTTCAAATTGGACAATCAGACCGACCACTTTGATTTGATATTTTCTTAGACTAAAAAGGGAAAGAATAGTATAACCAGTTGTAGTTTGAATGCAACTTCAGAAATTTCTGCCTTAATACAACAGCTTTAAAAAAATATATTTTTTTTTAATTGAAAAGAATAAAGGGCAAGTCAAGCTATTGTAATAATTGTAGTAGTTTGTTTTATCATTTAATTAAACTTCAAGAAAATTAAAAACAATGTCCTTACCTTTGGAAGAGAAGTTAATGTTAATTTTTTTAAGTTAAAAGGTTAACGTAGTATTGAGATTGAAAGTAATTTTGCAATTAAAAATTGTTGTTTTCTAATTTTAATATAAAATTATAAAAAAGTATGACTTTTGGGTTTAAAGCCTTTTGCAAATCCAAATAAAAAAATATTAACAAAAATACGTATACGGTTTAATCATAATTTTTTAGAATAAAATAATTTTATTAGTTTTATATATTTAAATTTTTATTATTTTATGTAATTTTTTAGCATTTCAGTTCACTATAATATTTTTTAAAACAATATCAAAAATTAAATATTTTTAAATTATATTTTTAACCATAATTTTAAATATATATTTTTAATTTAAACTTTTTTCAATGCTAACAATAATTTTAATTTTTTTTATACTAACAATAATGTTAAACGAAATCTTATCGGGATTGAACATTAAAAAAATGTAATTATACAATTCATTTCTAAGATAAAAATTAAAGTTCATAATTTCAACTTAACTGCGTCCCATATAATTTGAGTTTTGATGTTAAAAAAAAAAAAGTGAAATTGTCATTATTAGGGAAATTGCTTCCAAGTTCCAACTAGCAAGTTTACCCATTCATTGTCACCCCAAAAAGCATGCATCATAAAGAACAAAGAAAAACCCACAGATTTCGTATAAATTGTAAAAGTTATCTTGAATTAAAATAAACAAAAAAAAAAACATTTTATTTTTTTGTTATTATGCTAAAGTAAGAAAGAAAAAAAATTATTACACGCGGATTTAAGGCAACATTTGTGTACTCAGCAGAAGAGAAGAAACGGAATCCAACGACAGAATCGAAAAGTTTAATGTCAACGCAAAAGATTCCGAATTTCTTCTTCTTCTTCTTTTTTCTTTCTTTTTTTTTTTTTTTTTAAGCAGAAATCAGCATTCGACTCGACGGGCAAACTCGGTGCTAAACTAAAAACATAAAAAACTCACCTTGCAACTCGTAGCACTCGAACTCAGTACGATCCGAGAACCCGACAGCGTAATTGGGATCCGCTATAGACCTCAACATGTATTGCTTTTTCCCGCCAGAATCGTTAGGCACAATACACGCCTGCAACTGAGCGAACTCATCGCTGCCTCGCCTGACGCGCACGAGAATCGACGTCTCCTTGTTCCTATACGAGGTGTGAAGAATCTTCTGGACTCCGCTCTTGCCGCCTTTAAAAGGTGCCTTATGGGTGAGACCAGAGCCGGATCCAAGTCGAATCTCCTCAACGATATCCCCGCTCTGGAGCATGTCGCCGGTCCATTCATCGGCTTTCGAGCTTCCTTTCAGACATTCGATTGAGAGTACGGTCGGCGATCTCATGCTCTCCGATTGTAGGGTTCGGTCCATGGGCATTTCGGATCAGGCTGAAAACTATGTAAAACGTTTTAGAAAAATCCTTTCAATAATCACCACCTCTTATTCAAGAGACGAGAAAATATAAAGTGTGGGTTTTCTACTTCTTTCTTTGAGACAAAAAAAATTTGAGAGAATTCTTCAGACAGAGAAAGAGAGTTTTAAATTATGGGGTGGGGATGGAGAAAGAAGGGGGAACAGGTAATTTGATGATGATGGAATATTGGATTAGTATTGTTTTTAAAGGGAAAATATGGGATGGAAAAGTATTTGAAAGAAACAAAGGAAGGGAAGAAGTAAAAACAAAGAAAATGAAAGGGGGGGGAGGGGAAGGGAAGTACTCAAGCGGTAGAATTAAGAAATGAAAATGGAAAATGTTGAATAGCGATAAGGTACGCAATGTTAATTTCGGGGAATGTTCAGTGATTATGAAAGGATAAACAAAGAAATATCATTCATTACATATTTTCTTTAGATATGACGACTTTGATAAGATATGTGTATGTATAGTGTATTGTATTGTTTGGGCTTCTAGATGATTACTAGGAGTAGAATACAAAAGAATTTCTGTCATTCTTCAACTTGTTTTGGTTTAATTGTATTGTTTGAGCTCCTTGCTTTTTTTTTTTCCTACCGTCAACAAAATATAAAAAAATAAAAATGAATTACAAATATTAAAATTTAAATTTAAAATTTATTAAATATTATTTTTAAAAAATAATTATATAAATTAATAAAATTGAACTCTGAATTCACTCATTTTGTTTTTCTCAATTGCTTCCTGTCACCAAAAATTACTACTGCCAGTAGTAGTATTACTAATGTATGCATAGCCTCTTTTCTATTACATTGGTTATTAACCAATAAACTAAAATAAGATGCATAATTAAAAATTATCACATGAAATGTATTAATCTATTTGATAACTATTATGATATCATATGAATAAAAAGTAAAAGCATTTATGGGTAAGACCGGGACATATTAATTTATCAATTTGTGTATGACATAATAGAAAATATATCTGTAATAATTTCTTCCAAATAGGCATACAATTTTTAGTTTATATTTAATGCATTATCATAATATAAATTTTATACACCGTTAATAAATCAAATAATTGTCACTTCATTAATAAATAAATATCAAATTTTAAAATAAATATACAAAAGATTATATTTTTTTAAAAAATTTACTCATTAATTAAATGGAATAATCTCATTCATCTCATTATTGTAGTGACATCATATGATTCACGAACAATGCATAGAATCTTTACATTAATAATGTATCAAATACAAACCCTATAATTTTTACCATATCACCCATTCATTGTAATACCAAGGATTAGCTAAAGTGTTGAACTTTTATTTAAATAGATAGTGTAGATACCTAATTTTATCTGGATAAAATTTTTGCTATTTATAAAACTCTCAAAATCCAACTCTGTTCAAATCCAGCATTGCTTTAATTTTAACAAGTTTCTAAAATCAATATTTGAGCCAATTTACCCAAATGCCCTAAGGTCAAATCTGATTAGATAAAGTCAAACTTAGTCAAAATTGATCAAACTTTATCAAAACGAATATAGCCCGAGTCAACCCTCAAAATTCCCAATTCAATTAGAATCAATGTAGTTTAAAATTGAAATTTGTGGTCTTTGAAGCACTAAAAAGTCTAATTATATTTCAAGAAGTGTAAAATTACTAAAATGGTCTTAAGGGGCATTTGGTTCATCAAATCTTGGATTTTAGGCGAAAGTGTGATATTCGAGAGAAAGTTTGATTTTAGGGCATACCGCTTTCAAATTTTTGTATTTGGTTAGGGGGAATCTACATTTGTAAAATTATGTATTTTGACCATAATCTCCTTAACAACCTTGTAAAAAAACCTTTCATTTTGTTTAAAAAAAAATCAAACGACAAATGATGTCTTTATCATCAAATGAAATAAAAAGATTTTATATATTTTAAAAATTAAATATACTTAATTACATACATATTATGCCATTGTTGCTAGCATAGAAAAATTTTAAACACTCAATTACAACATTTTATTTAAATAAACGCCGTAGTAACTAGGATTTAAAATTAAAAACACTCAATTACAACCTTTTTGTTCAATAAAATGCAGTAATTGAGTGAATATCTATACAAGTAACTAACAAGAAGCATTGTAATACAAGGATATATGAAATCAGAAATGCATTCATATTTATGATCAGTGAACTTTTGTAAGATAAGAAAGAAACATATTAGTTTAATAGACTGACAGCACTGAGAACTTTAATGCCTTTACTAGATTCCATGAGCCATAATTGTTTCTAGATATTCTTCGATCATCTATCCACCTTCCACACATGCTACACTAATGGACAAATGCTTCCTTACAGTCATATTCGTAGTCATTCAAGTATTCCAAGAAATCAGAACACTTGTCAAAAGCACCAAATTTTATTTATCTAAAATCCCCTTCCACATTTCTTGTCCCATGATTTCCATTAACCTGCACCAAGAAAAAGACTATCAATATTCTAATTTGGCAAAAATTGTAGAAAGTCAACCTCTACCAAAAATGGCATTTTTTCCTTAAAAACGCCATAATAGACTTGTACTAAGAAGAATATTATCAACATTCTATTTTGGCAAAACTTGCAAAAAGCCAACATGTACCAAAAATGGCATTCATTCCTTAAAAACGCCGTAATAGAAACATTTCAAATTTTTTCATTACCCAATTATGGCATATGTTTAAGAGAAATGCCGTAATATATATTTAATAGAACATATTGAAACCCAAAAAAATGAACCAATTACAGCGTTTTGTTCAACAAAAATGTTGTAATTGACTTAAAATAAAATTTAATCTTTGTTTCAAACTTAATTTCAAAAGGATAACAAATGGATAGAATAAATTTTTTATTCAAGTCAAATATGGAACTCAAGCAACTTTTCGCTTAGAATCCTAAAATACGATAGGGAGAGGTGGGTTTTTGATTCCAAGACTTGGGGTGCTATTGAGAATCTAACATTTTTCCTAGGAATCAGATAACTTTAAACCAAATGTAAGAATTAAATACCATAACTAAGATTTTACGAAAAAGTTTTTTGATTCCCCCGAAACAAACACCCGTTTAAAGGTATTTTTGTAATTTGATTTTTTCGAAGTTCGATTTTCCTGAAAACTTTCAAAGCATAATTGAATATATTTTCATGATTTTTTTATGATTAAAACCCTAAATTAGATCTTGGGAGGTGTGAAATTACAAAATACCATTTGTGATATTTTGTATTTTTGTAATTTGACCTTCTCAAGGTTGAAATTTCGGGAAACACTCCAAATCATGGTTGATATTATTTGATGATTTTTTGAAATTTGAAAACCTTGATTATACCTTGGAAGGTATGAAATTACCCAAATACCCCATTAGGAGTATTTCATAATTTGACTTTCTTGAAGTTGATTTTTTGCAAAACTTTTTAGATTAAATTTTTATAATATTTTATGATTTTTGGTGCATTCAAAATCACAATAGTACCTTGAGAGGTATGAAAATACTAAAATACCCTTTTAGGGGTAATTTTGTAATTTGATCTTCTCGAGGTCGAATTTTCACAAAATTTTCAAGTCTTAATTTTATAATATTTCATCATTTTTGGTCTTTAAAATCACAAAATAAGAACGAAAATATTGATTCCAAAAAAATGGTATAAAGATCGAAAACTTTGTATAAGGGACCAAATAGTCTTTTTACTTGGTTTTAATGGATGTAAAAATCCAACATTTGTAGTGAACAATCTAGGCCATTGGATCACATTGGGAATCTTAATCCAATGGCTAAAGTTTGCTCTTGAAGCAAAAATAAGGGTGAATTTTGTTCCTTTGGATGAACTTTTGATCTTAAAGCCAAGATTCAATTTTAATAGGATATTTTTTCCATTTTCATCAAGAGTTGTGAGGACTTTTTTTGCATTGAAAAAAACCAGAGGAGAGCTTGTGAAAAGAAAATAGAATAGAGAAAGGAAAAGAAAAAATCATAAGGAAAAAAGAAGAAAAAAATTCTTTGTGCTTTGCTTGAAGGTATAATTTCTTAACATCCATCTTTGCATTTCTTGCATCTTAATCACATTTTCCATCACATTTTCATTTTGTTTCATCCATTTTTTTGTTAGTTTTTCTTGGAAGTTGTAGTTCATTTTCTTATTCAAAGCTTAAATCAAACTTCATCCAACTAATCAATAGTTGGATTGAAGCCAAAAAAAAAAAAAATGCAAAAACAACAATCAAAATCCACCATTAAAAACAAGTTCAAGGTTCAGCCAAACCTTCTCCACCATATTTAAACCTCCTTTGGGCAAATGTTAATGTTTTACTTGCTTTTCAATGTTGGTTATGATGGTTAAATGACTAGTTTAATTGTATTTGTATAAACTTTGCTTAGTTAATGATATATGATGGTGTTTGGATCATGTTTTAATTGTTCACGATTTCTTTGTTATTTTTAGTTTGTTTTATGTTTGAGGAAATTCTCCTTAAGATGTGAATGTTTTACATGATAATTTGGAAGGTAAACAAGGTATGCTTGACTTGAATGAAGTGGAAATGTTATGATAGAATGATATGGAAGGTTCAACCATGGTGGACCTTAGTTGGTCAAACCTCTATATATTTTATGAATGATGGTTGCTTTGATTCATGTATTGGAATGTGTTTTTATAACAGTGGACAAGTTTTTTTTATATGTTTAAACAAAATTTTCAATGAAAAAATGTTGTTTTGATGATTGATTTTGCTAAGTTTTGAAGTTGTTTGGTTAGGTTTTAATGATGAACAAATGGTCGAACATTCAAACCAATTTCAAAAGTTTGTTATGTTTGATCCATTTTTTATCTTGTTTTTACATGCATGTCTTGTTTGTGATTTAGTTTTATAAATACCTTGTTTTGTAAATATTTTGTTCTCATGTCATGCTTTTGGCACATACATTATTAATGGCATTTTTGTAATTTGTAATTGTTACTTGCATTTTCTATGAAACCCCAAAACTTAAAATCCTAAATTTGAAACCTTAAACTTTAAACCCTAAACCCTAAATCCTAAATCTTAAACCTTAAACCTCAAACCAAACCTTAAACTCCAAACCCTAAATCCTAAACTAAACCATAAATCAAACTTTAAACCAAACCCTAAACGCTAAATCCTAAACTACAAACCCTAAACCTTAAACTATAAGCCTTAAACCCTAAACCATAAGCTCTAAACCCTAAACTTGACCCCAAACAAACCCTAAAAACCCAAAACCAACCCTCAAACTATAAAATCAATCATGCATTTGCATTTCATTTTACCATGTCATCACATGCATTCATACTTTGTCATTCATGTTATGTTGTTATGCATTCATCATATTTTATTATG